GACAATCACAGCACGAAAAGAGAAAAAACTCGAACCTCAAGCTGGTACTGCATGGTACCAAAGATGGGCGGAATGCTGAATGAAGGTGATTTGAGAGGCGTCTATCCCCGCCACAATGATCCCTTTGGGCAGCAATATGAATTCAGCAGTTGTGTTTCAAACGAGCAGAAAAGTGTGGCCACAGAAAAATTATAGGAAACAAAAGGCGACGTGAATTCGACGCGAAGTGCAGGAAAAAAAATCGGCAGATCCCGCGTACAGTGGGAATTGATGATATGCAAAGCACGAATGAAAAAGATTGATATGTCACTTTAAAATCAGCACAACGTTACAAGGTGGAGGTAAATAATGCCGTACATGACTTCCGTGTCATGTTTATTTTGTTTGTATGTGTCGTTAGCCTTTATGATTTACTCCCGTAACGTGATACCTAATTTATTATATCAGGAGTTTGCAAAACGGCCGCCATCACGCTATGAGCGTGGTATGTTTTTATGTTCTCACATGTCACGCCTAAGGATTATCATGTTTGCATTAGTCATATATTTCGTCATCCATCGACGTCACGTAACATAAACATTTGGTATATCTGAAGCTAGTGAAACGGCCGCAAGTGCATCATGGAGGGCCCAATATACTCCCATGTAGCGTTGACGCGCGCGCACGCTAAGCACAGCGACGCTATAAATTAGCAAAACATGCGCACTCTATAGTTTGAAGTCAGGCGCGACCAGCATGACCAGCGTCCGTCTGCGCAGTTCAACGGCAACTGGCACGCAAAGCGTTGCCCAGATAACACTGCGCCTACATCTTTTTGTAACGGTGAGACGCCGGACGCACTGAAACGCGCATGCGTCAAATCAACGCGGCGCGCGCCTGCGAATATATAGACGTCAGACTTGGGAGTTTCGCGAACCCGCAGCGCCACCTGTCGACACAGTTTTGAGTAGTGGGAAGCCCGACGCCTTTGCACAGTTTGCTCCGCAACTAGGCGAACCTAGAGTGTACGAAACAACGAATGATCTGAATATTAGATGTACTTTTGCCTTGACCACTCAGAAAAAGAGCTATGAATTACTTTCCGCTGGTCAGCGCGTCCCCGTACCGCCGAGAAGGGCTTGGTGGTTCACTTGCCTGAACGACAGCGAAAACGAGAGCACACGCAATAACTTCGCGCTCTACTAAAAAGACCCCAGTTTGCGCTACTGTTGCGTTGGGAATCGTCACGGATGTACATGACTTCAGTTTCACTGATTTTCCGCAGCTTTCGCAAAGCAGAATGGTGATAGTGCTAAAAACAGGCCGTTGCGAATGTGTTGGGTATGCGAATTCTCGCGTTTTCTTCAGCCGTTTGTTTGAGTAAGAGTGATAATTTACGACTCCCTATATTGTATTGGGTAGCCTTGCTGGAGAACCAAGGTATCCTTGAATATGAAGCATAGCATACCCTCTGACTGCGGTGCGCGCCGTGCAACAGTAGGCAGGTGGTGCCCGGCCGCGATAAACATCACACACTTTGCGACCACTGAAGTTATCGCCACTACACATCGTTACCCACAATAGGGCTTTGAAGGCTCTAAGTGCCGGCTTCAACTAGGAAATGCGAACAAGTGCGTCATACAGGTAAATCGCGAAATGATCGCGACCACAAACAGGATTTTTTTTGTTTTTTGCCATTGGTCGCCAGCATTACCTGAGCTATCTCGAAGGAATCGGTTTTGCCTTTCGTTGTACACTGAGAAAGTGGACACTCGTGTATCTTCATTTGCAGTTTATACACACGGAAGACAACCATCAGCAGATCATTCGAGCATGCATGCAACTCTTCAGTGCACAGCACGCAATTGCAAGCAAAAGTGCAACTGCAAAGCGAAAATCTCCAGGGCCATTCCTGCCGGATAAAGCGGGCTTTGTACCACTGATTGACCAGATTGTTCTTGTATGCACTTAGTTTAGTGCTTGCCTCGAACTAGATGTCGTGCAATGCTCGTTTGCACTTACGTTGCCAGGTGCAGCACGCCAAAATAAATTAAGCATGTTTTGCCTGCATTTCGTTTTGATGAGCTTCCTACTATTATTAAGCGAGCTTGAAATAAAGAAACAAGCCTGCCAGGTCCTTGATTTTCAAGAAACTGCGCCTCAAGGCCAACGAAAGAGTAGGGCCTATGTATGTTCACTTGCGGACGGCACTAATAGATAGATAGATAGATAGATAGATAGATAGATAGATAGATAGATAGATAGATAGATAGATAGATAGATAGAGATAGATAGATAGATAGATAGATAGATAGATAGATAGATAGATAGATAGATAGATAGATAGATAGATAGATAGATAGATAGATAGATAGATAGATAGATAGATAGATAGATAGATAGATAGATAGATAGATAGATAGATAGATAGACTCAAACTCACCAAAATTCGCTAAGAAACGCTTCGCATTTCGAAGGTGGAAGTAGTGCATGACCGTCGGCTATTAGACTAGATGTGAGCGCTACCACGTGTTCGCGACCAGAGCAAACAGCACAGTCTTCAACGACGACTGAACTGGAGATCCACAAGCTGGAACTTGGTGCATCCACTGTATCCGTGTAGGGAAGGACGTTTTCTTTAAATGATGTGACAGTGAAAGCAGAGTACAGGAAGTCGTCTCTGAGCATATGTTCCTGAATGCACATGGGTAACGAAATTATCTCAATGTGGTGGCGTGTGCTGTTGGTGGAAAGGCGGGCAATACACTGTCGGTTGAGGTGAATCTGAACGTTATTTGTGCCACGCAACGCGAATCCCACATACGGTGTCTTGACACCACGGAGCCACGAGCGCAAACCACTACGCAAACGAGAAGTGACCGCACCCGTGTCGACAAGAGCTAGCACAGGAATATCTTCAAGATTGATTGACAGCATAGTGGTCGGTCGGAGAAAAGATAATTATGGAGACCAACAAACACAGCTTTCCCTCCAGAAAAAACAATGTTAGTGTTCTGGTTGTTGGTGAGCAAGGCGGGAGGTGGGGTGAAGCGCCAATACAGAGTTGAGGTAGGGCAAAAAGCGTCGTCTAGAAGAACGGGATGCCTGATGTTGACGCGGGGTGGGATGGAGCCCCAGTCTGCGTAGACGGGTGGACATCTCGGTAATAAGCATCGATTTTTCGGCTCCGGTCTCGCTAGAACTCTGCATAACCAAGAGACCCAATGGGGAGAATAATTGGACACAATGACAGTGCCATCTGGATTCTGTCGGCAGTTGTAAAAAGAATGAAATATAACTATTTATCTCATAACTAAAAACAATTTTTAATCTTTTGCTCTAAAACGTATTTCAAAATAATGAGAAATAAGACTATTATTTATAAAAAGATTTCTGTGCATAAAATTAAATAGTTTTCAAAAGCACAAGGGCGTTTCGAAGTGGCGGCTAAACGCTCGCATAACAGACGACGCCATTGTCGTCTGTTTCTAGGTCATTGCTGCCTCCGCTCGCTGCAGCAGCCCCTTTCACAATTTGTGTTGTTTTTATATTGTTCTTGGCAGTAAACTACTTACTGTAAGCTCATAAATAACTTGCATGCTTTAATAAGTTGTGATGCCGCATACAGGCCGAGCAAAAGGACAACGCTGATCCCACAAACTTGCAGCAATAAATTGTTTTATGGCGAGTCAATCAATTGATGCTTACATAAAATAAAGGCGACGTAAGCAACAATTTAGCGTGTACAGCAGTGAAAAATATGCATGCATTAGCGTTCATACGAAAACAAGGCACGTACTACGCATAGTCCTAATGCCGAGGACCCGAGCACAAAAGTTGTCGAGCGCTAGTTGATATTCACATCGAACTGTTCGACACCTTCGCTGGTGTAAGTAAAAGTTTGCGTCCCTGCACTTGTGTAGTTCAATATGGCGCAACACCTCGTCGACCCTATTTGGCCAGCTATCTGTAATTTTTGTTAACATATCCACGTGCCTTTCACGAGCAGCGTGGCGTGACTGCTGCTTTTCTCGTCCACGCTTCCACAAAAGTGCATCACTTTCAAAATTTCTACGCGGTGGCACTATGCATAAGTTTAATGTCTACAAATAAACTAAAAACAGTTTTTATGCTCACCATTTTCAAGTCTTTCCAATAAAGTTATCGAAAAAAGGCTTAGATGGTGTTTCAATTGCCACTGCCGGCGGTGCGTTGCCGTCGTTTCAAAAGGGCCGATACCTGAAGGATCGGATGCAAAGCTCGCAACATGCTACTGGCTTGGCATAACCCCATCTTTAAATCTGCTAGCAGCAATGGCAATACCTAGATATCTGGTCACGAGTCAAAACGTAGTGTCGGTGCGGGCCAGTTGGTTTTGTATTTCTCTTGTCAGATACCTCTTTTTGGAACGGGGCGTTTTTATCACTTGCTGTTGTCGTTTTCGCTTGCTCTTTTTTTTTCTAAAAATGTTTCCTCTTCACAATAAAGCAGTTGACAGTGAGCGCTCGTCTTCGTTCGTATCTCTGTCCCATTATCAGCCATGGTTGTCCCGTGTCTATCCTTATGCTGTATTTACTATATGTAATGGTCACGTACACCACAATAAATCACACTGCAAGGGACGATAGCCACTGAGGATACGAGAGTACAAGTGGTGCGCTGACTTGCAGACTAGCCAAACGACCGCGTGAAATGTCAATACACCCAGACATGACGGAAGCAGTTACTATTGCAGTAACATCGGCGATTGTGCGTATATGACGAGTTGTGCGAGTGACCAATGCTGTTGGTGCTGTAATTTCTGCCACGTCGGCGCGTGTGTGTAGCGGGAACGCTGATGGAGCAAAAAGTACCGTCGATGGTGTCCTTGTTGTTAGCTCCTGCTTGACATGGCAGCATGTAAGATAATATTTTCAGTAATTTCTGACAGGGTTTGCACAAGAAAACTAATAATCCAACCAAGGCCAATGTTTAGCAGCCATAGGGTAAAACAATGCGTGTTTATTGTTCAATTCGCACAGGTTAGCGATGTCGCTACCCTTACAAGAGGTCAGTTGTTGGCTGGAATGGAACGCTATGCTGTAGGCATGCAGCAGTATGGATTGCTTCCTGGAGACCGGATATGCATTCACCTGAACAACGAAGCCCAGAACTTACTGGTCATGTATGGCTGTATTCTTGCTGGAGCAACTATTGTGCTGGCGAAGACTTCGCTTACGGAAGGTGCGTAAATCGATTCTTTTTTAGGTTTTCAACAGTAACAGCTTGATTGCGAAATGTCTTTTAAGTCCACATTTCTTCATGGAATAGAAGTTATGTACCAAGCCATAAGGAACAACAAAATACCAGTCAAATGCTAAATATTGATGTTATAATGCGTTATTCGTGAGACATGCTGATTTGTGTTTGGTGGTGTTCCTTTGCAAATTTTCGCTGAGAATTTCAAAATGATCTATTTATTTATTTATTAGAATACCCTCAGGGCCCGTAGGGCATTACAGAGGGGGTGGGTACAACATATATAACACACAAGAAAAAAAGACAAAATAAAGAAACAAGTATCAGATGCGCAAATCAGGAAGGCAACAGAAGTCAACTAAAAATGTATAATAATTCAAGCACATACAAGACAAAGATAGATAATGGAAACTGCGTATAGTTACAAGCATTGCTGAGAAATTGCAGTCTTGAATAACAAAGGGTCTGTTATTGATACAACGGAAGAGGGAAGGTGGTTCCAATCGGCGGCAGTTTTCGGTAAGAAGGCTGCTGAAAAGAATTTGGTGCGGCAAAACGGAATGGCAACCTTATGCTGATGATCAATGCGCGATGAGTGTTATGACGGTTGTGAAATGAGGTCTCGCTTCATTGATGGATTGTGAAAAAATATCTTATGAAAAAAAGTCGCGCCAGTTTCCTCCGGACAGTTAAATTGGGTAGGTCAAGGTTAGATTTCATTTCTGATATGCTAGCAATACGGGAATAATTAGAACAAATGAACCGAAATGAGCGGTTCTGAACAGATTCTTACGCGTTAATTAAATTTTGCTGCACGGGATCCCATATAGCGGACGCGTACTCAAGCTTTGGGCGAATTAGTGATCGGTATAATAGAATTTTGAGGGACAGCGGAGCACGAGAAAAGTTGCGGCGTAAGTATCCTAGCGTTCGGTTAGCGTTATTACAGATGTAGGTAACATGCGTGTGCCAAGATAGATTGTTGGTAATGTAAACGCCGAGGTACTTATATGAAGAGACATGCTGGAGGGGAACGGCGTTAATTCTGTTGGTACAGGGGGGAGAAATAGATCGCCGGGTTATTGGCATGCATTTAGATTTGTTAGAGTTGAGAGTCATAAGCCATTTATTGCCCCAGGTTGAGACAGTGTCAAGGTCTGACTGTAGAAATTGGTTATCATATTCATTGTTTATTTCGCGGTAAATTACACAATCATCTGCAAATAACCTTATAGCGGAGTTAATGCTGTCTGGGAGATCATTAATATATATAAGAAAGAGTAAAGGGCCTAATAAGGAACCTTGGGGTACGCCGGATGTTACTTTAGAAAGAGGTGAGTTATAGCCATTAGTTGTTACAAACTGAGTGGGATTAGTCAGAAAGCATTCAATCCATTTAAGAATGTTCGGGTGAATGTTTAAGGCACTAAATTTCAGGAGGAGTAATTGGTGAGGTACTTTATCGAAAGCTTTTTGAAAGTCAAGAAAAATGCAATGCACAAATGAGCCGCGATTTAAAGCCGATGCTATGTCATTAGTAAAATAAAGAAGTTGGGTTTCACATGAGTAACTTTTTCGGAATCCGTGCTGGTAGGGAGTAAAAAAAGAATTTGATTCTAGGAATGAGACAAGGTTGGAGTAAATTATATGTTCTAACATTTTACAAGGAACACTGGTTAGAGAAATTGGTCTGCAATTGAGAGGAGACTGTGTGTTACCAGATTTGTGCAGAGGGACCACCTTCCCCACCTTCCAGACAAGCGGCAAAGTGGAGGTCTGAATAGATTGCGAAAAGATTAAAGACAAGTAAATTGATGAATACAATGCAGTGTTTTTTAGAAACTTTGAGTTGATTTCATCTACGCCACAAGAAGAGGATAACTTAAGCTTGTGAATTAAATTTTGCACTCCAACGGCATCAACGGTAACAGGATACATGGGTAAAAAATCACGACTAGGCATTTGCGGCAACGCAGAAGCAGAACAACTTGAAAAATAAGTAACAAAAAAATCATTTATTGCAATGCAACACTCTTCACAGCGAACTGGCTGCCCGTCTGAGTTCGTAAGCGAAATGTTTTTCTTTTCCCTAGGTTTAACAGTTTTCCAAAATTTAGAAGGGTTGGTTACAAGAATTGAGGGAAGGGTATTATTAAGAAAAACGCGCTTGGCTTCCTTGATAGCTGCTCTGTATTCGGAAAGGACAGATTTGTACACGTGCCAACGGGCTAACGAATTAGTCTGCTTTGCCTGACGGAACAACCGTTTCTTTTTATTCCGCAATTTTTTTAAGTCAGTTGAGAACCAAGGGGGGCGTTGGCGACCCTTGATAACGTATGTGGGAATGTATCGTGTGATTAAAGATTCAACTTTCATTTTGAACAAGTTCCAGCTTTGTTGAACGCTGCGATCAAAGAAGCCATTAGCAAAGCTCTCAAAATTCGATTCGAGTTCACTGTTGATTGAGTCATAATCGCCGCGTGAGTAGTCTCTTATTATTTTCCAATCGTTTGACTGACGCCTTAAAGAACCTGTTAGATTGAAGTGCACGAAACAATGGTCACTTATGCCCGGGGTATATGAAATAGAATGGACAAGGTCAGGTACAGTGGTGAGAATCAGATCAAGAACATTTGATGAATTGGGGCCCATTCTTGTTGGTTGCGTTACGAGTTGGGTAAGGTTAAAGTCTTCGCACAGTTCCACGAAATGTAAACTGTCGGCTGAAAGTGAGCTTAATGAACAGGAAGGAAGTGACCAGTTTATTTTCGGGTAGTTAAAATCGCCTAGAATAAAAACAGGTGTATGCGGGTGCCTTTTGACAATATCATTCAAAGCATCATGCAGTTGCTCGCAAAACTCTGGCGTCGCACTCGGAGGGCGGTAACAGCCACAAAATATTGTCACCAATCTTGTCTCACTCAAGGAAACCTTCCGCAGAACTGCTCGTCAAGCTAGGACAAAAAGAAAAACTGCTCCAACCCAACCTCTTCGTCCTCTTCCACACGAAAACCACGCGAATTCATGCGGCATTAGTCCCCCCTTTTAAAAAGCATCGACTCGATGCTTCTAAATAAAAAGAAGAAGAAAAAAAAAACCCATAATTAGAACACGCGTTGACGCAGAGAATGACAAAGTGAGTGCCAGGGAAAACAAAGAGGGCGCACAAGCACTTGGACCATGCGCGAACACAACAGCACCAGTGGAAGAGTCAAGAAAAAAAAAACACCACATGAGATCACTGTCACGTTTGCGAAGTAACTCGCAAGCACAGAGACTATTGTGTGTAGTACGGCTTGAGTCGTACGACATGCACAGTTTCGGGCCGATGTTGTCGACGTGACGACACTGTGCCGTCCGGAAGTACTTCGTATGTAAGGTCACTCACACGTCGGATAACCTTGTATGGTCCGAAATAACGGCTCAGAAGCTTTTCAGACAAGCCTGGTCGTCGGACAGGAGTCCACACCCACACTCGTTCACCCGGGTGGTATGCGACGTTTCGACGGCGAAGGTTGTAACGTCGTGCATCTGCGTCTTGTTGGTGACCGATGTTCACGCGAGCCAGTTGACGAGCCTCTTCGGCGTACTGCGTGTATTGCTCGGCTTCTGGAGAAAGAGCATCGCTATTATCGTACGGCAGCATAGCGTCAAGCATCGTTTGTACGTTGCGTCCATAAACAAGGTGGAAAGGTGAAAATCGGGTTGTTTCCTGCATTGCCGTATTGTATGCGAACGTGACGTATGGGAGGATATCGTCCCAGGTTTTGTGCTGCACGTCCACGTACATTGACAGCATGTCCGCTATGGTCTTGTTGAGCCTTTCCGTCAGTCCATTACTTTGTGGGTGGTAAGCCGTTGTTTTTCGGTGACTCGTGCAGCTCAGTCTGAAAATGTCCTCTAGCATTTGTGCCGTAAATGATGTTCCTCTATCCGTAATCACACATGACGGCGCGCCGTGCCGGAGGACGATGTGCTGCACGAAGAACTTCGCCACTTCAGACGCCGTGCCGCGGGGTAATGCCTTTGTCTCAGCATACCGGGTCAAGTAATCGGTTGCCACTATAATCCATTTGTTACCAGTGGCCGACAAAGGGAAGGGTCCTAGAAGGTCCATTCCCACGAGGTCGAAAGGTGTCCGTGGTGGTGTAATAGGGTGGAGAAGGCCCGCAGGTTTCACGGGTGGCGTCTTGCGACGCTGGCACTCGCGGCAGCCTTGCACGTAGCGGTGTACACTGGTCGAAAGTCGTGGCCAATAGTACTGCTGGCGCACTCTGGCGAGAGTCCGCGAGTAGCCCAAGTGTCCCGACGTGGGCTCGTCATGGCACGCGAGGAGGATGTCATCCCGCATGTCGGCTGGTACAACGAGGAGGAAGGCTTTGTTGCTACCTCGAGCATTTTTCTTGTAAAGAATGCCCCTCCTTAGACAAAAGGATGACAATTCGCGAGCGATGCGCCGAGGAGTGTGAGAATTTCGGCCTTCTAAGGAATCAATAATAGGGCGCAATTCCTGATCGGCTCTCTGTCTAGACATAAAGTCAGAATCACTGAGGGCTCCGAGAAAACCATCAGCATATTCCGAGTCCATATCAGGATGTCCCACGGGTGCTCGAGAAAGTGCGTCGGCATCTTCGTGCTTGCGCCCAGACCTATACACAATCATGATGTCAAACTCTTGCAAGCGCAAACTCCACCGAGCGAGACGACCAGACGGGTCACGGAGATTGGCCAGCCAACACAGCGAATGGTGATCGGTCACCACCTTGAAGGGACGGCCGTAGAGGTAAGGTCGAAACTTTGCCGTTGCCCACACGACTGCGAGGCATTCCTTCTCTGAAGTGGAGTAGTTGGCCTCGGCTCGAGAGAGAGTACGACTGGCGTAAGCTATGACATGTTCTACGCCGTTGTGCCGTTGTACAAGGACAGCGCCAAGTCCGACGTTGCTTGCATCCGTGTGAACTTCGGTATCAGCGTCCTCATCAAAA